GGGGTGCCTTGGAAGAAAGGCCTGGTGATCAGGTCATGAAAGGTCACAGTCTTCAAAACCCTATGGAGTGCAGTTTAGCCAAACCATAGTCAAATCAACTTTATGGCAACTCATTTTGTTTTGTTTGTTTTTCCTGGACAAAGGTCTCCTGTGTTCTCATGCTCACTCCTCCCTTCCCCTCTCTCCCTTCTCTTCTCTCTGCCCCGGGCCATCCTGGACCCTTCACCCAGTGGACTTTTTAGGGATCGAAACTAACCTGGTTCCAGCAGCCCTCTTAAAAGGGCCAAGCCAGGAAGAAACGTGCACTAGAACACAGGTGGCACTCATCGCACGAAGCCCCCGGTTGTTTGATTGTGCATGCGTTATTTAGCCAACAATAGATGTTTATGTACATGTTTTTTAGAGCTTGTATTTATTAACAGCCTGAAAAGGGGGAGCCTGGGAGAACTACACTGAAAGCACAGTGAGTTAAAAGGGACAATTAGGGGAGCAGAGAGAGATATCGAGCAGAGAATTATAAAAGATATTTTAATGCACAAAGGTTCTTGAGATATTTTCCAAGCAGATAGACAGAAGGTAAAAGAAAATTGGCCCATTATGATAGCTGATGGGGTGGGGGTGGGGGGTGGACTGGTGACATGGGATAGACTCATGGCTGATGAGCTAAACTCCTGCTTCCTGGAAGGTGGCGATGGAGAGCCAGTGAGGAGGAGACGAGCCGTGTCGGGAAACTTAAAAATAGATCTGGGATGGGATCCCATCAGAGTCCCTGCGTGTGCAAATGGTTGAGTTCTTGGCCTCTAACTGAAAGGTTAGCAGTTCAAACCCAGGTGTCTCAGAAGAAAGTCCTCATTATCTGCATCTGAAAGGTCACATCCATGACCACCCCGTAGAGTTCAATTCTAGTCTGCCAACACATGAGATCACCATGAGTTGGAAGTGACTTGACAGCAACTGGGTTTTTTTGGTCTGGAATCCCATTAAAATGCACACTTACCCCTGGTTAATCAAAGGTCTGGCTTCCTCTGGGTCAGTGTTGATGGGGCCTGGAGGTGCTAGGTTCTTCCTGGCCTGGTGGCAGGGGACAGGTGGGCACAGCTTGGGGAACTGGTAAAAATATGAGGGAGGAGCAGTTGGGCGCTCCCAGCTGGCTCCAGGAGCCTCTGGGCAAGATCATTCTCTCCGGCCCAAGACCCTGTAACTCGTCCTCCCAGAAGCCTTTCCGGCTCTCCTGGCTTCCTCAAGCCACTTAGCAGGCCTTCAGGAACCCCCTTTTGCCATGGTGGCAGAGCACTAGGCGATTAGTTAAGTGATGAGTAAACATTTGTTAAATGGGATTCTTGGCTCCCTGGTAATGAGCAGCCCCAGCAGGAGAGAAGGGGAGATGCAATTGAGGGGTGGGATGCCAGGATTGCTGCTGGTCAGCCAGAGGGGCACATGGAGAGAGAGTGGAGAGGGTGTTTCTGACAGACATCCTTTGAAGCAAGGAGAGGGCTGAGAGCAGAGCTTTGTGGGGATAGAAAAGGAGAGAGTGCGGGCGTGGAGACAAAACGGTTCTGGAATACTCTGTGAGCCTGGAAGCAGCAGGTGGCTGGGAATGGGACGCTGGCCCAGGCAGATTTCCAGGGAGCGTGCCAGCTCACTGGCACGACGGAAGGATCTGGCTGAGCAGAAGAGGCAAGTTGCGATGATGAAACTCGCTGTTGAGGAACGTTGGCAAGGGTATTATGGGTGGGACCACGTGCCTGTGTGGGCCTGAGGCTGAGTGTGGGGTTGAGGAGAGGACCCCACGTGGAGGGAGCTACACATTCCCACTACTTCTAGAATAGAGTCCAAGTTCCTCAGGAGGATCTCTGTGCCCCTTCCAGGGCTGCTCCTTGCTGGGCTCCCACACCTCCCCATCTCCAGCCAATGATTCCTCTGTGCCCATTGTTTGCAGACCCCTAAACGCAGTACTATTTCATGCCTCTGGCCCTCGGCCTATAATACTCTCCACACTCTTCTCTGGCCAACTACTTTCCTCTGAGACCCACCTGAAGTGCCATTTCCTCCTGGAAGCCCATTCTGAATACACCACCCTCTCCTGAATTGATTTTCTCATTTTTTTTGGGGGGGGGGGCACAAACATAGGCACACATCGCATATTGATTGTGATGACTTGTATCCACATCTAGGCTGCAAGCTCCTTGCAGGCGAGCCACATCTTCTTACTTTTATGTCCCCAGAGCCTGGGACTCTGGCTGGCACATGTAGGTGTTGATCAGCATTTGTTGAATGGATGGTAGGGAACAAGCTGAGCTCTGAGGCCATGGGAGAGACTCAGACTACCCACCACCGTCACCCAGCCCCTCTCGCAGGCTGGCTTTGTCCATCTGTCAGTCCCAAGTGGAGGGCTGGATGGCAGGAGGGGAGAGGGGGAAAGAGGATGAGCTCTCTTCTGAAGGTCTACGGAGAGTGCTGAACAAAGATGGCAGAAGAGCTGGCTCCAACGTCACCAAACAAGGAATGGCCTCAGCACCTGGGAGAACACAAATCCCAGGGGCAAGAATCCATGTATCCTTGCCCTGAAAGACCCAGGATGGACGCTGGGTCTAGTGCATAGAAAGGCCTGCACTTAGCCTCTGACTTATCAACTTGCTCTGATGTTCTGAGCAATGGTGTCATCGTGCTGTGTGGCATATGAGCTGCTGAGTGACAAGTGATGTCACCCACAAGAGAACTGCCTTTATTTCCTCTACCTCTTGGAGGAGAGAGCTACTAAAAATATACCTGGTGTCCTGGGCCCCACTGTTTTGCCTAACAGCAACCGGCAGGAGAGACTATGCTGTACTTGACAGAAATGGATCATTTATAAAACATTAGCATTTCTTGTACTGACATTTCACTTCCATATTACAGGACTTACTAAGTCTTCTTTAAAAAAAAATTTAATCAAGTGCTTATACTCTTGATTTTCCCACTGAGGGCTTTGCTGTCTAAAGTTGGAAATGAAATCAACAACATAACAGCCTCTGCAGGTTCTAAGGGAGAGCCAGGCCCCCGACACTGGCCTGGGTAAGAGCAGGTAAGCCACTGGCAAGCAACCTCAGGTAGATTATTTATTCTGCCATCGCCAAACTCCCTTTAGTGAAAGTTTCAAGCCCCACAGTGAGGAGGATTTATCTTCTTGGAAGCACAGCAAGTACAGCCTCCAGAACACCGTCCTCTGCTGCGTGGGTCTCCTGGAAACCCCCGGGGCCCTAGGAGCTGGTTGTTCCCTTCCAGCCACCAGCCCCCTAAGAATCATTCACTCAGCAGCTGTTGATGAGCTTCTGGGAACAGGCCAGGAACAATCCAGAACCAGCCAGCTCCAGGCAAAGGCTCAGAGATGGTGCCGACCCAATGTAGCCAGAGTGTGGGAATCATGTTCCCTGCAGGCAAAGGAAAGCCATCGAACAGAGAATAAGTGGGGTGTGTGTGTGTGAATGTATGTGTGTCTCCCTGTGAGTCAACGTGCCCCTGCCCCATATGGCCCCTCCGCTAGCAAATGTGCTGTGCTGTGTTCTCAAAGCTGTGCCCAGCCCGCCCCACCCCCTGCCGCCAGAACGCCCAGGATCTGCCACCCCTTCAGGAATGCAGGGTTAGGAAATGAAAAACAGTGTTCGTGTCCAAGAGAATATTTTTTTATTATTATTTTTCTCTTCTTAATTGGATTCAGCGTTTCTCGCTCCTCACACAAATCCTCTCTGGTGGGGAATTTGGGTTTGTGCAAAGCGCGAAGGAGACTGTGCCCGCCAGAGCACCTGGCCAGCAGCTGGGCTGTTGTTGACCGGAGCCCCTCTCTCCCACGGCTGGGCTTGCCTACTCCATTCCCTACACTACTCCTGACCCCTGAGTCTGGCCCCCTGACCACCTCTGCCCCTCCCTAGGCATCTCCAGAAAGGCTGAGGGGGCTGGGATCTCTGTCACGCAGAAGTGCCTGAGATGGTTCTTGAAATGCCCTCATTGGTCCTTTTCTGCCAAGGCCACGTGATGCTTTCTTTCCTGCCACCCTACACAAAGCCCTGGCTGGGACGCCCATCAAAGAGCCTCAAGGAAAAATTCAGCAGCTAAGCCATCTGGGAACCTGGCTCATGAGAGAGTCTCGCTGGTCTCTCCGGACCATTGCTGGCGAAACGCTATGCTGATGACACTGTCCAACCCATTGGACTAACACTGTGGAATGCTGCCTTGTCAGCTGGCTTAAAACACCAAAAGCCCCTTCCGTCTCTATCTCAGTCCAGCCTGTCCCCAGGGCCTGGCTCTCTAACACCCTTCACGTTGATTCTTGCTTTTCATCCTGACATCAGCGATAACTACAGTGGGGGTGATGGGGCTCACCAGGATGACAGACAAGCCTGTGTTGCATATGAAAACAAGGTGATGCTCTAAATACCTAAGAATGTCGGTCCCCTGATGTGATTCCTGCCACCTCCCCTTCACCCTAGCCTCCCCATGACACTTTGCCTCAGGCCCCTGGCAAGCCAAGGCCACATGGGGACAACTGTTGCCAGGTTAGGATTCTAGACAGAAATTCTATAACCATTTTTTTTCTTGCTAGAAATCACCAATACAATCTTTAGTTCAGCAGATATAGTTTTCCATATAGTTTTAAACATGTAAGACATACAGTTTGGTAAAGGAGTGGGGGCAGGGGAATCTGTGCATCTGTATATATATATATATGGAGAGAGAGAGAGAGAGAGAGTGTGTGTGTGTGTGTGTGTGTGTCTATATATAGATAAGTGGACATAATTATAAAACTGCACCTTCTGTGGGAACCTCGTTGCACCTGATGAAGTTCTAAATTTCAGCCTCCGATGATCTTTCCTTTGGTAATTGGTTCTTGGGCCCTGGCAATTGAGCCTGGGGCTGCCAGGGTTGCCTGAGACATCAGGAATGAGAGGCGTTACCCCCAAGAGAGGGATGGAAGGTGGCATATGGTTGCATTTAGGGCAGGTTGGTCGAATGGCCCCAGGGAGGAGCCAAGATGCCACCCGCGCATGTGTTCCCAGACTGCTGGCTGACCAGCCTCTTGGTTGAACCTCATTCATTTTTCTCTGAGTCCTGTTTCCTCCAGCAACAGCGGGGACCCTTCAGATCTCCCCAAATGATCAGGATTCCACAGAGCCCAGTTCTCATGGGGGCAATTGTCCCATAGTAGCAAATGAAGGATTAATTTTGCATGTCTTTTACTGCCTTGCTGGAGTGGACACTGTCCATGGGTGCTGGGCAGGGGCTGGCTGGGACAGCTGGGTGACATGTGCTGATCCCCTCCCACCTGGGGCTGTACACTTTGGGTTTATAATCCACCAGGCAGGGCCCAGGCAGTAATCAAAGCCTCTACCAACCTTTTCCTGAAATCCAGCAGATCCTCCATTTGTTATAAAAAAAAAAAGGAAAAGAAATTCTGTTCCTTGGTGGACAGGTGGCAGTGTTGGGTGCTAGCACCCTGGGTCCTCAGCGGAGAGTGACCGCCAGCCCCAGTATCCAGGCCAGGAGTGAGGCCCCCAGGGACACAGCCGAGGAGGCCTGCTGCACGCCACTGGGGGCGCGGATGGGGGTCCTGCGGGCACACTTGCCCTTCCTCTTGGGCCGCGTGGTGGGCATCATGTCAAAGTTGAACTTGTGCTGGTAGTCAGGGGCATAGTCCTGCAGTTCATGGGCCTGCTTTCCGGCACCCCCTTTAGAGACCTGGTTGCGATTCCTGTGGCTGGTACAGTTCTTGCCTGGCTTCCTGTAGCCTGGCCGGGAGCCAGGTAGATGGCCCTTGTCCCTGCTGGGGCCATGGGGTGGATGGTGGTCCTTTCGCGCGGCCCTGTCGGTGGTGGTGAGCGTGTGCGACTTGATCTGGTGTGGGGACGCTGGCCCTGTGCAGTTCCGGAAGTCCTCAGCTCTCAGCAGCTTTAGGTCCTGGCCACGTCGCAGCTCAGGAGACAAGCATGGGACGGCAGAGCTGGAGCCACGAAACCTCCGCAGCCATTCCCAGAGGGATCGTGCCCGGCAGCCGCAGTCCCAGGGGTTCCCGTTGAGGCGGAGGAACTCCAGGGCCCCCAGGGGTGCCAGGCAGTCACCTTGAAGCTCGGAGAGGCTGTTGTTGAAGAGAAAGAGGGTGGTCAGCCTGCGGAGGTCATGGAAAGCCTTGTGGTGCACCCACTGTAGCTGGTTCTCGTGCAGCAGCAGGCGGTCCAGGTTCACCAGGCCCCGGAAGGTGTCCTGGCTCAAGCTCCATAGCTTGTTGCCATGGAGGAACAGGTGGCTGAGGTTGACCAGGTCCACAAAGATGTCGTCCTGGAGGTACTCAATGTGGTTGTCCTGCAGGTAGAGGTACTGCAGGCTGTGCAGGCCGCCAAAAATGCCTGCTGGCAGGGCACTAAGCCCACATTTATAGAGGTAGAGGGCATGAAGCTTCACCAGGCCCTGGAAGGTCTCGGGCGCCAGCATCCGCAGCTGCCGGTTGTCGCCAAGGTCCAGCTCTTCCAGGTGTACGAAGCCCTCAAAGGTGTTGGGGTCGATGAAAGTGATATTGTTGGAGTAGATCCACAGGGTGACCATGGCCGGGCTGAAGTGACCCTGCTGGAGAAGGGTGATGCGGTTGTTTTGCAGAAAGATACGCTCGCTGTCCTCTGGGATGCCCTCGGGGATGGCAGCAAAGTTGTGTGCCTGGCAGCTGACTGTCATGGGTGCCGGGTAGCACACACAGTCCCGGGGGCACCCGCCGCCCAAGGGCAGCTCCCCAGCCAGCAGCAGCAGCAGCAGCTCCACACAGCTACCTGGTGGGAAGAGAGAACACAGTCAGGTCAGGGGCTGCGGGAGGAGGTGGGGTCAGATGGCATGCAGGATAGAGACTGAAATGTGACTCTTCTGGGCCAGCTGGCATTTTGTCCTTGTCTTTGCTGGGTTCAGTGGCACCCTGAGGGGCTGGAACCCTGCCTGGAGGAAGGCAGATGTCAAGGCCCAGGCCAGGACCCTATCTGGGACTAGATACCTGCCTGCCACTTCTTGGTACCCACCTCTTAAAAAAAATACAAACCCCAAATCCATTGCTGTCAAGTTGATTCTGACTCATGGCAATGCCGTGTGTGTCAGAGCAGAACTGTTCTATAGAGTTTTCTTGACTATAATGTTTATGGAAAGGAGCCCTGGTGGCACAAGTGGTTGAGCACTTGGCTGCTAAGTGAAAGGTTGGTGATTTGAACCCACTCAGTGACTCCACAGAAAAAAGACCTGGCCATCTGCTTCCATCAAGATTATAGCCAAGAAAACCCTATGGGTTTGGCATCCTAGTGAGGTGAGTAGTATCTGGGGTCTTAAAAGCTTGCAAGCAGCTATCTAAGATACAACTATTGGTCTCTACTCATCAGGAGCAAAAGAGAAAGAAAGAAATGAAAGTCTCTGAGAAGAAACTAGTTTACAGGGCTAAGAGCCTCCACGAATTATATAGCTTCATTTACCCTGAGATCAGAAGAACTAGATGGTGCCCCGCCGGCTACCACTATCAACCATTCTGATCAGGGCCAAAATACATGGATCCTGATAGAGTGAAAGAAAAATGTGGAACAGAACTCAAATTCTTAAAAAGTCTAGACTTACTGGACCAGTTAAGACTAGAAGACTCCCTGAGACTATCACCCTGATCTTTAAACCTTGAACGAAACTATCCCGAGATCACCTTTTAGCAAAATAACATATTGGTACACAAAATAAAGAATATTACTTGTGTTTACAGTGCTTATTTAAAAAACCATTTATATAAGACCAAAAGGTCAACATTTACTCTAAAGCAAAGGTAAGGAGGGAAACTAGAGTACTTAAAACAGAGCGATCAGAATGGAACTTAAGAAAATGTTGATACACTGTGAAAAATGTAAATAATGTCACTGAACGACTTGTGTAGACATTGTCACACAGGAATCTAATTTGCTGTGTAAACTTTCACCAAAAATACAACAAAATATTATTAAAAACAAAACAAACCCTGTAGGTCAGTTCTGCTCCACAGCATGGGAGTCGCTATCGGTCAGAACTGGAATCGACTCAGTGGCACCCAACACCCACTTTCATGGAAGCAGATCAAGTTTCTCAGTGCCACCTGGTGAGTTCAAATTGCTACTGTTTAGGTTGTTGTCGTTGACCCCTCCTTGGGTTTCCAAGGCAGTTATCAGTACGGAAGTAGATTGCCCAACCTTCCTTCTGAGGAGTGGCTGGTGGGTTTGAATGGCCAGCCTTCTGGTTAGTAGTCAAGTGCCTTAGGCACTATGCTACCAGAGCTCCTTACTGTTTAGGTTAGTAGAGTGCAAAGAAGATGTGGGTCAAAGTCCTGACCACACCAATAACTTCTAAGCCCCACCCCCAAATCCCTTAGCTCCGCCCCTCAGATCTAATCAGTCCATCCAGGGTGGTATTCCTAACCCATTGGCAGTCAGCCAGGCAGGTTCCAGTTCACATCCCGGCTCTGCCATTGACTTGCCATTCATCATCTGTGTTAACAGATAGTGGTGCAGACTCTTGTTCTAACAAAGTTAATGTAATGTGGAGCAACCAGCAAAGCATGCATGACACCAAAGTTCTCCAGAAGGAAGTCCCATTTGCAACGTCTCCCACGTCCTCAAATAAATGACATCTCCTCTGTGCCTCAGTTTCCTCACTTCTAAAACGTAGATAGAATATAGCTCCCCCTCACAGAGCTGTGCTGAGGATAAAAGAGAGGACACAGGTGACAAAGGACTAGGGGTGGCACCAGGGCTACCCCCCCATTCCAGCCCACCTTCTGCCCCCTCCCCACTCCCTGCCTCGCTTCAGCTCCCAGGCTGTGGCTCCAAACCAGGCCTTGCCTTACAACAGTCCGGAGCATTTCCTCTGTAGCTTCCCTCTAATTGGGCATTAATTAGGCATTCGTTAATGGACCCTTAAAATAATTTATTTTCGGATGTGTCCAGCCTGTGGTCGGATAATAGCCCCATGCTCATTAATGTAGCTGGCTCATTATGGACAATTGTCATTACCTGCCTTTTTCCAGGATCGCAGCTGCCCCAGGCAGCCCGGCAGGCGCGCCAGTGGCGGGAGGGCCGGCTCCAGGCCTGCAGACCCCCACCCTGGAGGACCAAGCAGCCATCTCATTCCTAACCAGGTTGGCCTCCAGCCCCTTCTCTTCTAGCTTGGTCAGTTCAGCCTCTCCAGAGAGCCTAGGCGCCTGGGGCAGCTCACTCGATCCCTCCTGCTGCCATCTGCACTCGGAGAGTGTAGGAAGACAGAAACAAGCCACCGGGCCTCTCTGGGGCCAGCCTCGTGCTCAACCTTGCTCTGGATGCTGGGCCGCCTGGCCAGGCCTCCAGGCCTGATACTGCCTCAGCTGCCTTCCCAGGCTCCTGGCCAAGCAGGCTTTGACACCAGTGCTACTTCCTCATTCCTGGCAGCAATAGCATCATCGTAAATAAGTGACAGCTCCCAGCTGTTGGAAGTTATGGGCTCCCAGAGAGTGGCAGCTGCTTCCCGTCCCCCTGTAATCACCCAGCTTCACCGAACGTTTGCAACACATAAAAATCATTGCACATAATTTTGTTTTTGCATAATTGGGTTCGGTTGCAATTTCAGAGCAATTATGACCTTGGTGGTGGTGGTGTCAGTGGCGGTGCAGCTTCAAGGTCTCTTTCTATGCCAGGCTAGGCTCTGTGTGGCCTCCACAGTGGCTTCAGTCTTCCCAGCTGCTGGGTAGCTTGCAGGCTGGGCTTGAGGCTGATGCCCCCCTCAGCCTCAGTGCCTCCTTGTTACATAAGTAGGACATGATGTCCACGCCAACCCTCCCCAGAAGGATCTTGAGCCTGCCCTCTAGCCCCACTCCTCCCCTGCCCCACAACTGCCCACCTCAGGCTGGTCGGGGGAGGCAGGGGGTAAGAACCTGGGCTCTAAACCCAGCTGACTATCTGGAAACCTGCCCACTGCCTTCAGTCTCCCACCCAGGGCTGGGAGGAGGGCCCGGCCCATACTGGCTACACCCTATAGAGAGCCCAGTATTCATTTCAGTCCCTCTTCCTCACTTGTCCCCGGGCTGCTATCTTCTAGGAAGGCCAAACCTGCAGGACCCTCCCCCAGGGAGGTGCCTCCACCCTACCAATCTGGGGGAGTCCAGGGGGTCACCCAGCTCAAGGGCCCTCAGTGTCCCACAGCTCAGACTGAAGGGGGCAGGGCCTCAGCCACACAACCTGAGCTCATGGTACCCACAGAGGGTGCAACACCAGGACCCCCCCACTCAAGTTCCTGCAAGGACAAACGCATTCCCTTCTCTAACGCTTATGGCTGTAGAGATGTTCCGTGGGGGACGAGCATGGGCGAGTTGTGGTGGGCTCAGCACTAATGCCACCTGACATTTGTACAGCTTATTGGAGTTTACTAAGTGCTTTTGCTTTGGATTCTCTGATCCTCAGGGCCACCGTGTGCGGGGGACGGGGGAGCTCTTCTGCCCCCTGACCCAGGGTGGGCACAGACAGCCCTCCTTTGCCTCCTGTGTGGCTCTGTCTCAATAAGACCCCAGGGATATGGTTCTCTGCAAGAGTCCCCCGAGAAGCTAGGTCCCCACAAGGAGCTGCATGCACCCCCTTAGACAGAAAGCAGGTGCCTCTAGGGGTGTGGGGCATGGGAGAAACCAGGTGCAGACCCTGGTTTAAGTGAAAAAGCCAGACTCCCCACAAACTACTTGTAGACTTGGTAGCCAACATGTGAATGGCAGGTGGAAGGGGTCAGATAGCAAGGGCAAGGTGACAGGAGGACCCCTGCTCTGAGAGATGAGTACAAAAGGAGGTGGGGACCCCTGCTAACACTCACCACAAAGGCTGAGCTACATCCTTGTTACCCCAAGGAAGAACATGATACATCGGGGCCTAGGGGTAGGAATGGAGCAGTAGACCACAGGGCGTGGTGTGGGACAGTCACTCCCCCCGACTGCCTACCTCGGAAGGTAGGTTAGTGGGGTCAAGCCCCAAGGAAGCTGCTCTGAGTCCTCAGTCCTGCCCAGATGCCAGGGGACCCATGTCAGAGATATCCCTGCCCCTCCCACTGGGGGGTGGTGCAGCCTCAGCGGAGCCTGCTACTCTGTCCTGGAAAGTACTCCATCCAGCTGCCTGACTCAGGGCAATCCCTGATCATGGCAACCCCAGGTGTGCCAGAGAACTGCTCCACAGGGGGTTTTCAATGGCTGGGTTTTCAGAAGTAGAGCCCCAGGACTTCCAAGGTACCTTGAACCTCCAACCTTTTGGTTAACAGCTGAGTGCGTTTACCATTTGCACCATCCAGGGACCCCTCCACCTGGAAGCTGGTCTCATCTCCAAGGCCCTACACCAGGTGTCTTAGCCAACCCCACCCACCTCTGGCACCCCTAGTCCAAGCCAGTGGGTACCCTGGCCCCAGATCACTGCCTGGCCAGGTTTCTTCCCAAGGAGGCTGGCACTGTATCGCCGGGCTTCTCCTGTGCCCCCTGTGTGGGCCATGGGAGCCCTGACCCACTGATTGCCTGATTATGCACTAACAATGTGGCGGGTGTCTTTGCTGTGCATTTTAAGATTGCAAATTAGCAGGGATCCAAGTCTCCATGGTGGGCCTCGCATCCCCACCCACCAGCCTCCTCACCAGCTCCTGGGTGGAGGCGGAGGCCGATCTGCTTGACAGGCTGAAGAAAAGAAGGCTGGGCCTCCCCTAAGCCTTCCTTGGGGTTGTCCTGCTTCTCTGCAGCACGTACTCGTAGCTGAGCTCACCTGCATCTCGGCAGCCTCATTCTTTCTTTCC